GCAGGTCTGCCCTCAGGATGCCTGCTGATCCACGTCTTTAGCTCTGGTGATTGATTTTCCTGTACAGTAAAAGGTGCTGGTGCAGGATTTTCTATTTCTTGAACAGAAACAGCTCCTGTTTTGTCTTTCTTGGGTGTTGATGTGCTTTTCACCACTCAGCAAGATCTTTCTTCTTGGAGAAAACTGCTGAAAAAAAACCTCCCTGTGATGCTGGCAGCGATGCTGGGTGCTTTATCTTCTTTCAGATGCTCAGCAGGCTTTTCCACTCTCATTGCTAGACATTTGATGGAGTGGTTTTAAAATCTAGCCTTTTAAATAAGGCAGGCAGGACAGCTCAAAGGATTCACAGGAGAGAAAGCTGCCACGGGCTCTGAGGCACAAACCCCACCTTGGCTGGGGAAGGGTCTGAGCTGAGGTCTGCTGGAGGCTTGGCAAGTCACCTCACAACTTTTGTTCCTTCCTTGTTCTTTTCCCTGACTCTTATCTTTTATTTTCTGTTGAATCCAGGATATGAAGCTAGAGATAACATTTCTCTGACCCAAGACATCTGGTCTGTTATCTCTTTACTAGCACTGGATGAGGAATGTGGTGCCCAGCAAGCTGAAAACTGAGAAGAATGAACCACAAGAAGTGACTTATTACAGCACCCTGCCCCAGCTCAGGCAGAAAAGTTACTAAAAAGTCTTTCTTTTGTACCACTTCCTCCACAAGCTTAAAATAACTTAATATCAGAGATCCAGGAACCAACCTACCGTGTGAAAGAGCAGCACACAAATATGTTTATTCCTAGGGCTCTGCTCGCAGCCCCCAGGTGGCAGAGGACGTTCAAATGGCTTTTCTGCAGTCTGAAGCTGGCTGTCACCTCAGGGAGGGTTATATACCACCTCCAGGAAGGCAGAGCTGCTGGATTCCTCAAACAGGGTTTCGAGGAAGTCTGGCCAGGGGTGGAGCCAGGAGCTGTGTTTTTCCAGAGGTCCATTGCAAGGTCAGGGGTGGAGCTGTGGTGCTCTGTAAGCCTCCCCCCTCTCTAACTCAACAGGTTGATGTGAATTTTCCAGGTGACTTGGCAACTGAAACTTAATTATGTAAAGTGTTCTATGGCATTTCTGATAACCTTCAATCCAGTCTTCCCTACAGCTGTGAGCCACATTCTGTCAGAGGGCCAAAATAAGCCCTTGAAGCTACCCTTTCTTCAGGTTGCCCATGAAAGAGGGTGCAAACCCAGCTCCCACCTGCTTGGTGCATGCTGGAATCTGCAGGCAGGAGTTCCTAAGGTAGGTAGTGCTGCCAGATGAGGTGTAGAGGAGTGCCTGGCTGCTCTAGCCACCCTCAGATCAGGAGGGGACCCTGCACCCAGCATCTTCAGTGCATCTTGGGCAGCCTTGGTCACACTCCTGTGCTGCAGGGAGGAGCATTCAGACACAGCCAGTGAGTGGGGCTCACTCTGATTGCCCAAGACCTTGCTGGAGCCTAAGCAATAATCCATCCTTAAAGAGAGGACCAAAACAGGCAGGAAAAATTGCAGTCATAGAATGGTTTGGGTTGGAAAGGACCTTTAAGATCATCTCATTCCAACCCCCTGCTGTGGGCAGGGACACCTCCCACCAGACCAGGTTGCTCAGAGCCCCATCCAACCTGGCCTTGAACACTGCCAGGGAGGGGCCATCCACAGCTTCTCTGGACAACCTGCTTCAATGCCTCACCCCCCTCACAGTGAAGAATTTCTTTCTAATATCTAATCTAAATCTCCCCTCTTTCAGTTTAAAACCATTACCCCTTGTCCTATCACTGCCCTCCCTGATAAAGAGCTCCTCCCCATCTTTCCTGCAGGCCCCCTTTAAGTGCTGGAAGGCTGCTATAAGCCCCTCTAGAATCTTCTCTTCTCCAGGATGAACAACTCAAAAAAAAAAAAGGAGACAGATTCTGTTTTCCTACAGTTAGACATCTCAGTTCACCACCAGGCACCTCCTTGTGCAGCTGTTCCCAAGCCTTCCCATCCTGATCATTTCTCTGAAGCATCCTTGGCCAGGTTCAACGCTTGGCTGGGGCAGCAGGTGAGCAGCAGGAACAGTGCCACCACTTCAGAGCATCCCACCAGGTTCTGGTGACTTGTCCAGATGGGTGACAGATTGCCAGAGCTGCTGAGGGCTTCAGATCTAAGGGGATGTGGGGGAGCAGCTGCTGGGAGTGCCAGTTCATAGTGGGGTAGTTTATTCCCTTTGGGAGTGGCATTCCTTCTGTCAGGTTTTGATCTGAGAATCACCACGAGTGATTTTTTTTTCCTAGAGTCCACCTGATTTTATTATTTTTTAAAAAAACAGGTCTTAGCTTGTGTGGTGACAATTTCCAACCTTCTTCCAGCCTCTCCTGCCTCTGTCTCTCATATTCTCCAGTCCTTTACTTTTCTATGCTTGAATTTCCTTCCCAAGTCATCCCTTCTATCCTTGCCTTCCTTAAAATAAATCATTAAAGAGCTGCAAAATACAGTGCATGCATAAACTCTCATTTTCTCCTTGAAAGGGGGGGGACTTTAGAGGCCAGCAACTGCAGCCCACCCTTTGTCTGATGTATTTCTTCTGGAGCTAAAGAAACACTCCAAATATTGCAGCCAACGGTGAGAAAGGAGCAAGAGCTTACCTTGTCTCAGAAGAAGCAGCTGAACTGTTGCTTCACAGTTCTCCCTGGAGAAATGTCTGTCTGCTCCCTCAAGAGTCCCACAGCACTATATACCCCACCACACATCTGCCCCTTCTCACAGAAAGGGAAACTCACAGAAAAGAGGCAATTTCTGTTGTTATTCAGAGGACAGTTGCTCATGCCTGCCCAGAAACAGGGGGACAATTGCCACTTTCTGTTTCCTCAGGATTTCTCCCGAGTTTGCTGACTTGCAGCATCCTGTGCCAGAAGCAGATAACCGTGTCTGGTGATTTCCCTTTGCATTTCCTCATTCCCCACGGGGCACTGCTGCTGCTGCTGCAGCACCTACACGTGTCTGGTGGACGTTCATGTTCTGCTCTTCTGCAGCCTCTCAACGTGTAATAGGGTATTTTCCTCTGCCTGACTGCAAAGCCCTTGTAACCACACTTTTAATGCCACCTTACAGATCCTGGGTACAGCCACTGCCAAGCCCACGTTCAAACAGGGGCCTAATCTGCCCAAAAAGAAAACTCACTAGAAATCTGCTTGGTGAAGACAGGGTTTCTCCTGTTAGGATTGGCTAAAAGGGATTTGGGAGGGTGGATACAGAGATCAAAGTCTGGTAGGCTGTGCTCTCTTGAACTCAGAAGACATCTTTGAATCTCATAGATTCTATGGTTCTGTGATGGGTTGGATGGAGCTTTGAGCAACCTGATCTAGTAGAAGGTGTCCCTACCCATGGCAGGGGGTTGGAACTGGATGATCTTTAAGGTCCCTTCCATCCCAAACCATTCTACAGTTCCATGAGAGAGGGGATGGGAAGGGTTGGCTCCCACAGTCTCTCTAAGGACAGTTGGAGGAAAGATGCTGGTTTGCTGCATTATTAGTGGGCTGGAAATGAGACTAAAGACTGTCAATGATTATGACCAAGAATCATCAGAAATGAGTATGACAAAAGTCAGTTCTAAGAAGGGTCCTTTGTCCTGAGCTGCATGTTGGAGCAAAGTTTAAAGGGGTCTGGCAATATTTCGTACAAATGTTGATTAAAAGCTGCAGGGAACATGACTACTGTATGCTGGGGTTTTTTTTATACAATCAGTAAGGTGGGAAAAGACCTCCAAGATCATCAAATCCAACCATCAACCCAACACTACCATGACCATTAAACCATGTCCCCAACTGCCACATTTACAAGTCTTTTGAACCCCTCCAGGGGTGACTCCAGCACCTCCCTGGGCAGCCTGGGCCAATGCTTCACCCCTCTGGCAGTAAACCCTTTCTAACATCCAATCTAAACCTCCCCTGGTGCAACTTGAGCCCATTGCCTCTTGTCCTCTGGCTTGTACCTTGGGACAGGACATTCCTTTCTATACAGACCCCGGTCCCCTGACCAGATGCTGCATGTCTG